GCTAAATTGTTTATTCTGGTGTTTTCCATTCCGGTGGATTCCGGAATGTACACCGGAATGTTCCCCGGAATGGGCAGGAATGGTGTTCCCCGGAGTGGGCAGGAATGGGATTCCAGTCCAATCTGTTTATTTTATTTATTTATTACTGTATTATAGTTTATTTATTTTCAATGGATCACAAACAATGTTTGTTTGGTGAACATGCTCACCAAACATGGCCACTCTCTTCTTCCACCACCACCACCATGCTCGTCACCGCCGCCAACGCCACGCCATCACCGTCACCCATAGCCACCACCGCCAACATCGCTCCTCGATCACCCATGGCCACCACGACCACCAACATCAACCACAACACCCTTCAACAACAACGCGGCGACGCCACATCACGAAACAACGAGCGCCGTAACCCACGAAAACACCCAACACCCACGAAAACAACACCCCCGGACACAAAACGACACCCGACGGGCACAAAACGACGCCCACCGCCCATGTACACCGCCAGCGCCCACGAAAACCATACCCCGCCCACGAAAACATCCCACCACCCACCGAAAAACACAAGCGCCCACCGAAAAACACGCGCCGCCCACCGAAAAACACGCACCGCCCACACGACATACGACGGCACCACGCCGCCTACCAAAACCACCACGTCCACACCAACGCCACCCACGACGACGCCCCCAACGGCAACCAGCGCCCACGACGACGGCGACGACAACGTCACGAATAACGCAACAACGCGGACACACGACGAAAACGCGAACACGCGACGAGGAGGTGACAACGAAATGCGACTCAACGATGGGATGCCAACGCGGGACGACGATGGCCGAGGTCCCAGCCACACTCCCTCTCCCCTCCACCATTCCCTCCCTCCCTGCCTCCTTCCCCCTTTCTTTGTCCCTCCCCCTTGCTCCACCATTCCTTCCCCCCTTTCCTCCCTCCCCCCTTTCCTCCCTCCCCCTTCCTTGTCCCTCCCCCTTCCTTCCTTCCCTCTTTCTTGTCCTTCCCCCCTTCCTCCCTCCCCTCCCTTGTTCTTCCCCCTTCCTTGTCCCTCCCAATAATAGAAATACACCCCCACCTTGTCCCTCCCCTACCCCCTCCCTTTAAGATAAACTGTGTAATGTGTGTAGTAATACATTTCAAATACATCCCCACCTTGTCCCTCCTCTACCCCCTCCCTTTAAGATAAACTGTGTAGTGTGGGTAGTAATACATTTCAAATAAATTACAACTCAATCTATGACTTCTACATGTGAATTTTATAAGGAAATATGAGTGCCAAGTCATCAGGATAAGCTTGGAGTTGAAAAAAACTTACTCTCCAGTCGTATTCCAGTGGAATTCCAGTGGAATGCTGTGGATTCCACTGGAATTCCACTGGATTCCTCTGGATTCCTCTGGAATTCCACTGGAATGACTCTATTCCTGCAGGATTCCCCTGGAATTCCACTGGAATGATCCCATTCCTGCAGGAATAGGTGGGGCACTGTAAAGTACTGCCTGTATGGCAGAGAATTTATGTCCATCCAAGAAATCATTTCAAGGATGGCTAGTCAGATATAGAATAGTGGCTTCTGAGATGAATAGATGGTGACTGAGGTCAGAGATGGCATAGTTGGCTCTCTTACAAAAAGACAGGACAGCCTGTATTGATGTGAACGACAACATTTGGTATGGTACCAAAACCATTTATGCAGCAATGGCAAAATGTCAACACTTCTCAATCTTTCAACCACACCTACCTGGAGCTATTCATATTTAAGGACACTGCAAACTCTATGTTGGAAATGTGGACTACAAAGTTTTGTAGTAGTCTTTTGTAATCTATGTGTGAAATTTTTGTAGTCCAATGATCAATTTTGTAGTTTGTATCCAACATTTTGTAGTTTCTTTGTACTCTTTTCTAGTCTATAAGTAAATTTTGTAGTCTATGTCTGACTTTTTATAGTTTCTTTGTAGTCCATCAGTAATTATTACTAATATTTTGTAGTCTGTTTGTAAATGTCTCTTTCAGGCCATGCTTCTTCATTTTTTTAGTCATTTTCCCAAAATGTGATATTTAGCCCCTTCTTTTACCTTTCTAAATATGTCGAAATCATATTGTTGGGTATTGTTTTGATGGAGAAACATGCAAAAAAGCTGGCCATAGGAAAGATGTTTTGCCTCATATCTCCACAACAGGAGCACTTTGGGACATAATTCAAAGAGATTCTTAAAGCTACAATACAGGGCTAAAGCTTTATTATTTATTACTATTTTGGGAAATTGGTCATCTGACCACCCCCATTGGATGGACCCTGACATGTATCATTATCTTGGTTTCTTCCACTTTTTGGACATCCCCAATGATGTTTACTTTTTTGGATATATTCAGTAGACCCTGAAAGCAGTACCTAACATTATACACCATATTTGGAAATGCACCCTGGACCCTGAGGCAATATATAGCAGGCAGGCAATGAAATATAGGCAGGGGCCAATGAAATGAATAAAACATAGAGCAGGCAGGCAATGAAATATGGGTGTGGGACAGTCAAATGGATAAAAATAGAGCTGGATAAATAAATAAATTTAGCCTGGGAGGCAAAGAAATAGGTGGATGGGAGGAAAGAAATACCTAAAACATCGGCCTAGGGAAGCAAAGAAATGGATAAATGGGAGGAAAGAAATACCTAAAACATTGGCATAGGGAAGCAAAGAAATACCTAAAACATTGGCCTAGGGAAGCAAAGAAATGGATACCTGGGAGGAAAGAAATATCTAAAATATTGGCCTAGGGAAGCAAAGAAATGGATAAATGGGAGGAAAGAAATACCTAAAACATCGGCATAGAGAAGCAAAGAAATGGATGCATGGGAGGAAAGAAATATCTAAAACATCGGCATAGGGAAGCAAAGAAATGGATATCTGGGAGGAAGGAAATGGATAAAACATAAGCTCAGGTAGGCAAAGAAATATACACCTGGGAGGGAAAGAAATAGCTGCATGGGAGGAAAGAAATAGATAAAACATCGTCCTAGGTAGAGAAAGACATATAGAGCTGGCAGGGGAAAGAAATAGAGGGCTGGGATGAATTACATGGAAAAGATATCAAGCCAACACACCAATGACATGAATTTCATATCATTTGCCACACCATTTCATATCTTAGATTTTACTGGCTTCAATGAAATCTCTGTGCTGGCATTTGCCTTGTGTATTTAATATACAATGGTAGCTACTAGTGTGTGAACCTGGTATAAAAGTGCCTAACTCTGTGTTAAACTTGTGTGAAGACTCTTTTACTGCTGCGGATGAAAAGAGAGTTAAAGCTAGTACTCAGTTCTTCTCAGACACAGGTCTAATGGCAATGCTCTGTCGACATGATTGGGTTCTGTGGCTTGCTAATATGACTTCAGCTGGTGAAAAGCAACATTATGTTCTTGTTCTTTTGGAGCGTCTGTTTGATCATTTACCCTCTACTGCATGTGTGGGTGTACTCTATGATATTGGCTGTCTACTTCATCAAAGTTGTGTTAAATGGGGTTTTTTGAAAGACTTTCATGATCATTTGATATGGGCTATCTCAGTGTTTCACACTTATGGTCATCAGTGGGCTTGCCAGCTTATTGACCATCCAAGAAAGTGTACTGGTTTTGGATTAACTGATGGGGAAGGCTGTGAACGATTCTGGAGCTCAATTAAGCTTTTGATTCTATCACTGCGTGTTAGTGGCTACTACACACATATCTATACAGTTGATACTCAAGCAAAACATCTGGACCGCAAATCTCTCATGGGTCTGGGGGACTGGCTCAGGAGAAAATGGAATGCTGCTATTCTGCGAAGAAATGAGGCTACAGCTGTTTTGGCTGAACTTCAGCAGAAAAATATCACTGAAGATCTCTTGAGAGAAAATTGGGCTGCTCAGATGGCTCACCAGACAAAACCAAGTCCCAGGCAAGCAAAAAACTTGGCGGACAAGGTTATTCAAGAGATTTTGGAGCTAAAGGATTCTATGACGGAACTCAAAGCAGAGCTATATAAGTTTGAGACAATGATTCAAAAGGGGAAATATGATGATGGCTGGGAGGTTTCAGAGGTTAGACTACATCTGGAAGATCTTAAGGAAAGATTTGAGAAGTCTGAGACATCATTGAAGTCTAAAAGTGCCACATTGGGAGCTGATAGCCGTTTAAATCTTGAACGCTTGCTGGGCAATAAGTTCCTTTGACTCCGGGTCAATGCTTTAGCTGTGAAACAATGCTTGAGAAATCATCTGCAACAGTGCAAATTTGAACTAGATAGTTTAGAGCAAGCATATCGTAAGACAACAACCAATAGTAAGTGACTGAGCCAACTTTTCAAAAAAATGGGGACTTATATTCTTTTTGAAGCCAAAAAACTACAGGAACATTCAGAATCTCAAATAAAGCGCAAAGAACCAGGAATTCAAAAGTTGGCCAAGAAATACAATGATATCTGTGCTGAACTGGAAAAGATGATTAAAAGAAAAGAAATTCCTCATGGTGCATGTGCACCACACAGAATAGCCACTGATGGCCTATTCAAACTAGATGTTGATGATGACATCTGGCAGGATGTTGGTTTAGATGACATGGATCTCTGTTCTGGCAGGGAAATCCCACAATGGCTGGGTGATGAAGGTGTGCAGAAAGGAATTAAATCATTAATGGAGCTGGATCGATGCCAGAAAGAGCTGCGACGATTGTCCTATGAGCGTAGTGCAATGCAAGAATGGTTTGAAGAAGAGTGGAAGTGTGTTATGATGGCTATGGAAAGTGAGCAAGATCAAGATGTTAGGTATCAACTGGAGTTACATGCATATACTTTGCTATATCTATGCAACATCTGGCAGGATAAAGTACGCTTAGTGATTCCACACAAGACAATGAGTCCATCTTGGGGTCCAACAGTTGAGGAACTTGCACTGGCACAAAATTGGGAATCATCTGAAATGACAATGGAGAATGAGATTGATGGTAAGGAAGAGGATGAGAGTGATGATGATGAAGACCAAGAGGATGATGGTGAAGAGCAAGAGTTGCTTACTGTTGAAATGGTAGCACTTTCTGATGAGTTCCGCAATAGTTACATGCAATAGTTGGAATGTACTAAATTGAATAGCATGTGAAAAAATAGACTATTGTTCATTGATTTCACTTTTCTGCCTCCAGAAACATCCAAGATACTTCTCAGTTCTACTACTATTTTCTGAAAGTATATTCTGGAAAGGTGAGTTGATATGTGGTGAAGATAGATTTATATTTCAAATATATATATGTATTTGAAAAATATAGAAGATATATCCTGGGTCAGGATATAATTGAAATATATGTCTTATGAATATATTCTTGTTCAAGATATAGTTGAAAGATATATCCTTGTTAAGAGATAGGTGTGACTCCATACTATGACATGGTGAATAGAATTCATTGTCCATAAATTTACAATCAAAACTCAAGAGAAAGAGGAAGGGAGGCAGGGAGAGAAGAAGAGGAGGAGAGGAAGAAAGGAAGAGAAGGAGAAAAACAACAAAGAACTTGGTGAACTCTTGTCTGTGAAGGATGGTAATACAGGTGTGGGTGGAGTATGTAGATAAGGTGCAACTGAAGAGAGAAGAAGAGAAAGATCAAAGAACTTTGTCAACTTGATGGTAATACAGATGTGGGTGGGGTATGCAGATAAGGTGCAACTTAAGAGAGAAGAAGAGAAAGATCAAAGCACTTTGTCAACTCGATGGTAATACAGATGTGGTTGGGGTGTGCAACTTGAGAGAGAAGAGAAAGATCAAAGCACTTTGTCAATTCGATGGTAATACAGATGTGGGTGGAGTATACTGATAAGATGCAACTGGAGAGCAAAGCACTTTGTCAACTTGATGGTAATACAGATGTGGGTGGGGTATGCAGATAAGGTGCAACTGGAGATCCCAGAGCTGAAGTAAAAGCAGAAGTGGAGGGGTTTTCTAAGAGGCTAAAAAATTCTGTAGTGTGAACTGTATCCATAGTGTCAAAGTGGATAATATGCAAGCAACACAGAAATCTTCGACTGAATAGCTTCAAGATGAATCACACATGTTATTGAGGCCCAAAATTGTTAGAGGAGAATAAATGAATCTATAAAGTGACTATATTCATAGTGTGATTGGAAGTGGATGACAGATGCTATGGATGCTTCTTATTGCTACCTACATACTGGGAGCACAGGCCAGACATAGTGCCAAAACCTCTGGAATTTATTGCAGAATCTTCCAGAATATATATCCCAGACAGCAAAAAAATCACAACTTTTTTGCTGAAACTAGGACCCCTGACACCCCTACAGACCAGAAAAATATATCCTTACCACATCTGTTTCACAAAATATATCCTAAGGCCAAGCCAGGGCAAAATATATTTCTCAGGTGTGACAGTGACATTTCAGGGTCCACTCACCAAAAATATATCCTTACTGCATTTCACTTGCAAAATATATTTGGGGGGTGTGACACAGACATTATAATTTTTGTGTGACATTTCAGGGTCCACATCTCAAGAATATATTTTAGATTTCAGGGCTTTCTAGGACCCAGATATATCTAGAATATAGATATGGTCCATGACATTTAGTCATGTAACTTACGTGTAGTTTGCATGACTAATAGTCAGTTGGCAGTGGGTGACTGAAGTGCTTGTGCAGCCGGCTTGGAACCCTTGCAAGGCCATGGCATCAGAATCAGTTCCACCCTTGAATACCTCCTGTGTGGCGTACCCTTCAATGTCATGAAGGTGAAGGGCCACTGGTCCAACGACGCCTTCTCACTCACCATGTCAAGACTTCTTTTCACCATGGGTGTTGCAGCTTGTCTCGAACCCCTCGAGGAACACTTCTTTCCAGTTGGAAAGCACTTTGTGCTTTCGCCTGATTGCTTGCCATGTCATGCCTTTTTAGAATTACTACATAGATGATATACACTACACCACTGTTAATGTTAACCACCCCCTTTCCTCTGGAATCAGAGTAATCCCCATGATCTGCAAGCACATGGTGACACTCAAAGAGTGCACACTACAAATCTTTTGTAGTCTCACTACAAGCTTTTCTAATGAAAAAGCAGACACTACAAACTTTTCTAAACTTTGTAGTCTGACTTTTTGTAGTCTTTTGTAATCTATCAGTAAACTTTGTAGTCTGACTTTTGTAGTCTATACCTAACTCTTGTAGTCTGTCAGTGTCAATTTCCCTGTTAGGGCATGCACCTTCTTTTTTTGGTCATTTTTCTCACAATATGATAATTGTAGCCCTTTCTTTTAGCTTTCTAACTGTGTTGAAATCATNGTTGTTTGATTTTGTTTTTATGGAGCAAAAAGCAAAAAAAAAGCAGCACTCAGAAAAGT